CAGTCCCAGCGGTGAAAAATGGCTAACGTAGGATAACTTATTTGGGAAGAGAGCCAAAGGGGCTCAGGAAACCTCCCCTGGGGCAAATGGACATGGAAGTAAACAGAAATTTCTTGAACATGCTCTCTGGGACACACTGTTTCCTGCAAATTCAGTCCCAGTCCTGCTCTCTCACACCACCCTCCTCTGGATTTTCATTGCAAATCTGACTATCAGCATCATTAAACTTCTTGTTTTAGAAAACAAGAACATTAATCTCAAAATTGTGTCAACAAAATATGCCCTTTTGATTACTTCCCACCCCATCCAAAAAAATTAGGATATTATTATTACCATTACTCATGGCTGCAGTTTATAAATATGAAGGTTAATAAAGCCATTTCATTCCCTGGGAACAAGTCGAGATTGATCTGTCTTTCCAGTTTATCACAATCTCCCAGCTGGGGGAGATAATCTACATTAAGAAATGGTGTCCCTATGATTAATGGCAGTTGTGCAGGCCACAAACATACCCATTGGATTTCACATTTTATCTGATACATGCATTTCAGGGGAGTAACTCTGGAGGGCAGGGAAAGTGTGCCACAATTGAAAAACCTAAAAGTCTGCTTAGTTATTAAATCCACTAAGAAGCACCACTGCCTTCTGCTGCCGCATAAAAGCAATCTGGAGAACAGGCCCAGGGTCCCAGCCCAGAAACAAGCAGCTGGAAGGCCTGTAAATGCAGAGAAAACCCAGACCTTAACTCACCTAAGCTGGGCATTACCCAGCCCACCATGGTACCACAGCCTTGGACCATCAGGCACCCGAGAGAAGCAGCCTCAGGCCTCCCCAGCCTTTGCATCTGCCATCGATTTACATACTTGAATAATTTCCTGTTGCCACCCAACCTCATGCCAGTTTTTGTGCTCAGATTCAGTGTGCAGAAGGTACCATCACCTTGAATCCTGCACCTTTACCCTCAGCAGCTCTTTAAAAATCCACCTCTTTTCCAAGGGAGAGTACGGAATAGCTACAACTAGGAAGAGAGGATCTGGCATCCACCTTGAAATCCTGAATCCATCTGCCTGACCCAGATGGCTGCAATAATCCAGTACCTGTCTCAAGCCCTTTGACAATACCTTGTAAAGTGCAATGAAGCTGCAGCATATGGGGGAAAAAGCTGTAAAACAAAACTCAGCCTTGATTTCTATCAAGTCACGCAATAGGAGATGGATACAAAATTAAATTAAGATCACCTGCAGAGATGTGAGCAAACATTTATTAGATAGTCACCTCCACAGCCTCCCTCTGCCATCCCATAAAAGGCAGGAGAAGGAATTATGACTATCTGTGACTGCACATCTGTCTTATCTGCCAGTGATTCTCACAAGAGACAATTCATGCCTGCAAAGGAAAGCAAAGCTGGACCTTAAAACATTTCAAATTAACTCTACTTCAGCAGGCAGAGCCTGCTCTTCCATCTCCTGCGTGCAAAGGGGTTAATACCCAACACCAACGGCCACAAAACTCGTGCTGAAAACAGTTCAGCACATTTCAAATGCAAATAACTCTTCGTGTGAAGAGGTGTCTGTGATATAAGCCTGAAAAGCACAAGTTTTCTTCAAACTTGCCAAGCTTGTGCATGGATAGTTCAGATAGAAAAGCCCACAGCAGTCACCTGTGTTGGTAGGGATTAGGTCCAGCAGGTGGAGAGAGGTTTTCCTCCCCCTCCACTTTGCCCTAATGATGCCCCATCTGGAGCACTGTGTCCAGTTCTGGGCTCCCCAGTTCCAGAAGGACAGGGAACTGCTGGAGAGGGTACAACAGAGGCTACAAAGATAATTAGGGGCCTGGAGCATCTCCCTTATGAGGAGAGGTTGAGGGACTTGGGTCTTTTTAGTCTGGAGAAGAGAAGACTGAGGGGGATCTGATCAATGCTTATAAATACTCAAAGGGAGGGTGTGAGGAGGATGGGGCCGGTCTTGGTGCCCAGGGTTAGGACAAGAGGAAATGGGCACAAAGTTGAATATAAGAAGTTCCCCCTAAACACAAGGAGGAACTTCTTTACTTTGAGGGTGGCAGAGCCCTGGAAGAGGCTGCCCAGAGAGGTGGTGGAGTCTCCTTCTCTGGAGACATTCCAAACCCACCTGGACACGTTCCTGTGCAACCTGCTCTGGGTGGACCTGCTCTGGCAGGGGGTTGGACTAGATGATCTCCAGAGGTCCCTTCCAACCCCATTATCATTCTGTGATTACTGCAAGACAACAGGTTACGTCAGTGTAAAACAAAAGTGGCATACTAATTTTACACAGCTCAGCATTCTGCAAGAGAAAAAAGTGGTGAAAGGGACTACACAACTCATCTGAAAAAGAAAAGTTCTCGCTGCACAAAGTCACAGCCACTAAGGCGAGGGTGGGACTTAAACTGAGATGCACTGAATTTAAACAACTAAACCTTCCTGCCTGGGAGCAAGAAAGTCTGAGCATGATAAATTCCTTTCATAAATGCAGATCATCCTGCTCTTTCATATCGAGTCTTCGGCATTTATTTTTGTCACAGTAAATAACTGCACCCTTGGGATCATTTTACAATTCAGGTGTTTGCATAAACCTGTTGCAAGTCAACACACACGTTCCCCGGGAGATTCACCACCCGGACAAAGTCATTCCTTCTCCCCGCTGATGAGAGGGGCAGCCAGTGGTTCAGGCTCCCTCAGGAAATACAGACACAGCTCCATCCTGCCATCGCTCTGGAAACGACACCGCATTCAAGATTTACATGGAAGGCACTGCTGAGGACCCTTTCTCCATTACCTGGGTCCGGTTACAGAAGCAGGAAACCAGAAAGGTGGATCGCAGCCATGCAGAACAGGAATGAAAGGGCCAGTAATAAGGACTACAAAATTAATTCAAAAACCTGGGACACGACTACAGCAGTGACAAAGAAAGGCTCACCCATAGTTTTAGGGCCTTCTGGTTCATCAGCTGACAACAGCTCACATCCAAGAGGGCCAGTAGGAGCGTACTCCGGTCCCAAACCGACACGAGCACTTCCAGGACTGAACCATTTGCAGAGGCAGGAGGGCAGTGCTCAGCTGTCACCACACAACAACCGCCTGTCACCTCCTCCGAGGTGACAGCAGATCAAGGCAGCAGATCAAAAGGCAGCAGATCAAAACCTGCAGCTGACAACTCCAGCTGGGCCTCTGTCCCTCGAATCAGAGAGGCTACTTGGGTCAGAGCCACAAGAACCTGATCTACACAGATACCTGCATTTCTGTACTAACTTGTACATCCAACATAAGCCTCTCACCACTCATCCAAAGCAACGAGAAAGCCAAGGAGAAAGCAGTCAATTGTTTGACTTGTGCATCAGCCAAAGTCACCAACAGCAATGAGTTTTCACCACCTGTGTATGAAATGGAACCCTATTGACTTTAGCCACGCTCGCCACAAAAATGAGCACAAGAAGCTAAAAGCAGGAAGCATTTTATTACTGTGCTCACTTTTTATTCATAAACTGGACTGTGATACACTGTTTTCCTGGTTTACACTACTCTGACCATGCTGTTCCCATATTTTGTCAGTCAGTGAAAACTCGATGCCTAATTTTCATAAAACTGTTGGACAACAGCACCTTCCCTAAATCATCTCGAAAGATGCTCTGCTCCAGAAAGCGCATTCCCTTTTTGTCAGTGACCTCTAGTGGTGAGCACACGCAGGAGAGGATGAAGGAGAGGAGAAAGAGGGCGATTTCAGAGCTTTTACACAGGGAGAGATTGATCCTTTCTCCCTCCAAAAGAAAGCCAAGTGGTTCATCCATCCCTCTCTTGCAAGCTGCAGCACACAAGTTGACACAGGCTCAGGGAAGGGGGTACATACACAGCAGTGTGCCTTGCCCCCAAGTCCATGGGGCCACTCTCCTACTGTCACCGTTACAAGCAGCAGAAGCATTTTGTCTCCTTGTCCCTCCCCAAGGTGATAAACACAGATGCCCATGCTCCTCTTGTAACCCTCTAAGCATGTAACCCTCCAAGCATGTAACCCTCCTAAGCATGCAGCCTTCTGTGACCCATGGCCTGGCCTGCTGTGGCTCAGCAGTGTCATCGTGGCCCAGACTGCTGAGAAAATAATTAAGTTTTGGGAAAGAGCTCTGAGAAGTCCACGCCAGAGACACGCGAGATCAGGAATGTGTAATTGCAGCCAGAGGTGGGTTTGTTGAGAGGGGGGTGGAGATCAGCTCAAGGGTTCCTGAGGAAAGACACCACCATGGGAAGAATGGGGGAAACAGCACATCCCAGGTCCATCCTGGGGCCAATCCGTCCCATCCCAACCACCAGCTGCTCAGCCAGCAGAGCACAGGGATCACACTATGGCTTAGCCTAGTAGCTGTTGACATCCTCACTCCTTTCTGCACGCTAACCAAATAAATGAGTTTGATTTCCCATTTGCAGACTGAACACAGAAAAAGAAACACGAACAGAATTGCACAGAGACAGGGACAGTAACACCCTGAAACAAAGGAGGGATTAGGGTTGTCTCCGAGAGGCTGGTCAGGTGGGGCTCACGGGCTGCTTTGCCAGCACAGCTCCTCATCCCAGGGCAGCACCCAGCAAGTCTGGCAGCAGCGTGACCGCTCCACCTGCAGCTCTGCTCCCTGTCACGACACACCAGCACAGCACAAGCCTGACATACCCACGGGCAGGATTTGTGTTTAGACACCGGAATGTGAATCAGTGGCAGAGACATACACACAGATCTGAATCTTAGCTTTGTAAGTAATTTCTCTCGGACTGAAAATAACAGGTTTCCATTGTGGCCTTTGCTCGGTGAAGAGGTCAGCCCATAACTAGATCCAACACACGTCCATCTTTCTCAGGACAGATCCTCCAACAGCTCATATTTTACTCTCCCTCTAACTAGACCCTATGGATTCGAATCCAGCAAGTAACATTTTAATCAATTCAGCTGATGAGTGACAAATCCCTGACAGTTCTACACTCGGTCTAACTGCGGTACCTTTGCTTTCTTCACATGGCTCATGATATTGCCGAGGTCTTCAACATCAACAACAGCGTTTGTGCCTCCAGCTTCCTCAGCATCAGTCTCCTCCTCACTACTGGTTTCAAACAACTCCTCTGCCTGGGTAAGAGATCAGAGAAAAAAAAATAAATTAGGAATGTATCTGAATGTTAAATATAAGACCTTCATCTATGCTAACCAGTGAAATCAGCTCTCACAAGCAGTAAAGGCTACTGAAAAGCAAGGAATAATCTGTCAATAACCTGGACAACGTATACCAGACACATTTAAACTTAGGGCTTCTATCAGTGTGTATTTTTAAGAGTTCAGTAGCACACAGCCTGCCTGAAACTCAGTCCAGATATCCTGCCTCCAGACTGCTCCGTTCTCTTCACATGCTGATCTAAGCACAGGAGGAGCCCAGATGCCGCTGCATCCCACAGCGATGATGCGGAATCCTAAACCCCCTTCCCTCCTCCAGCTGCCCCTGCCTGAACGCGCAGGGAGTGATTGATTTACTTTCCAACTCAACCTCTTCACAGAGCACAAGAGTTGTCTCCCTTTCTGTGCACAGCTGAGGTACAGCACAACAGCATCGGTGTAACAGCAGTATTTATTCCTCTTGCTCCTGCAGCCCAGCACCCTCTAACCCACTCAGCCAGAAAAGCCTCAATTTTCCTACAAAAATCCAACATTGCCACAGCAAACATTTCAAATCCACACCAAGTGGATTGCAGGGAGGATTAAAGCTCTGGGTCTTGCACTGTAGAGCAACTGAGAGGATTTCTCATTCAACACCTGCACTCAACACTCCAGAAGGCACACAAATCATTACAGGCAGACACAGACAGAGGAAGTACAGGACTTGCTCAGATAACACTGCTTTCCAACTGCCTTTGGAAAAACCATGGGATGCAGGCAAAGTACCTGAGCTTCAACAAGTTGCAGTGGAAGCAGGTGAACTGCTCACAGGGAACTACATGCTTCACTTGGCCAAGATTCAGAGCAAAGACTGATGAGAGCCCAGACTGGCTCAGTGGAGCACCAGGCACAACTTATACCTCCCCCTGTTCAGAAGGACGACTCCCTCATCGTATAAATGCCACCTAGCTGAGGGCCATCACTAATGTTTTGGCCCTTCTTTTTGGATGGCTTTATTCTACCTGGTAACCATCACAGGATCTCATCCCTCTTCCCTCTCTGCTCCACTACAAGGAAGTATCAAGCTCCCACAGCACCCCCCTGGGCTGTAGGAGGGAGGAGAGAAGTCGAACAGTGCTTCAAAGGGCATTAAACCAGAAATAAGGCCCTGTGGATTTTAGCTCTACCTCAGTATTCTCGTATTCTGATGCCCCATGTTCATGATCTGAGCTCTCTTTGTTCTGCTTCCTTGAAGATTTGCACTTCCCTTTCTTGCACTTCCCGCTGCAGGGCTTCTTCTCCCCTCTGCAGAGCACCTGGAGCCGGCTGAGGAGCTTGGCTTTCCAGGCTTCAAAGTCGGCCTCGATGCTGCCATGCTTGCTCTGGGCCACGTTGCAGTCCCCCTCGGCACGAGTCAGGATGCGGCTGGCACCCAGCATCCATAGCCACCTGTCTACGCTCCTCCCAACCTAGGGCAGGGTGGAAGTCAGAGGGTCATTAAATGAAGCCCAATCCAAACAAAACAGGTAATTAAGAAAGCAAGGACCAAGTACATGAGATAGAGGAAAGGGCTCTAAACCAAAAGGCAGCAAGTGAAAGGGTTTAAGAGTACTGTACCCTCATGCACTGATAGAAAGCTTTCAAAGCTGGGAAATTAACTCAGTAAGGATTTACCAAATGTATCCTCAGACCTCCCAGATTAATGCAGTGCTTATGGGACTCCTTTCCCATTTAACAGGGCAGCGCAATTGCTTCAAAGCTGCTCTGCCCATGCCCTAAACCCAGCCTCTAATCAAGTCCGCACAGCGGCTGCAATTCTCACACAAACTACCAGTATCGTTCAGTTTTGTAGCATTTAAGAAGGCTTAGCTTTTCAGAGAAACAGAAATCAGAGAAATGCGCCCAGGAGATACTTACCGTGTTGTAATGATCGACATAAACTGAGTTTCCCAGGCCAAACACAGCATATCTCAGGCCCTTCAGATACGTTCTCCCGAAGCGGAAGTCATTGGCAGCCTCTCCCAACCACTTACAGAACCAGGCCGCGCTCTCCGTGGGCTGTCCATCCGTGTACGTGGCTACCAAGAACACACAGATGTTCCTGCTCGTTGTCTAAAAACATAAAGAGAACAGAAGAGAAGAGATCCCTGCATTTTTCAGGATGCTTTACATCAGACAGAGAGCTGGAAGAACACAGAGACACTCACAAGAAGTGAAAAACAAGATTTTTGCTAAGTGGGTTAAGAATCATTGGCATGGGTGCTGCAGGTGATAAGCCCAACGGTGCTGAATGACTCTGCACCCTGCAAAGCCACCTGAAACCAGCCAAGGGACATCAGGCTGTCGTCCCCCTTCCTGACAGGGACATGGTAGTCAAACACAACCAGACACCAACCTTCCCTACCCCAGTCAACAGCTTCTTGAACAGACTCTTGCGGTGATAAACTCTTGCATGGACTCAACAAGAAACTGTCAATATTCATGGAAGAAAAATCCATCCTTGATTACTCAATATAAACACACCTCCCCAAAAGTTTAACTTGTACATCTTTGAAGGCTGCAGAAGTATCATGGAATTGTCAGAGTTGGAAGGGACCTCTAGAGATCATCCAGTCCAACCCCCTACTAAAGCAGGGCTGCCCAGAGCACATCACTCAGGAGCATCCAGGTGGGGCTTGAAGATCTCCAGAGAAGGGGACTCCACACCCTCCCTGGGCAGCCTCTGACAGGGCTCTGCCACCCTCACCCCAAACAAGTTCTTCCTCACATTGGAGTGGAACTTCCCATGGTCCAGCTTGTGCCCGTTGCCCCTCATCCTATCGCTGGGAACCACTGAAAAGAGTCCGGCTCCATCCTCCTTCAACCCACCCTTTAGGTACTTGTCAGCATTAATAAGGTCTCCCCTCAGCCTTCTCTTCTCCAGGCTGAAGAGCCCCAGCTCTTCAAGCCTTTCCTTGTAAGGGAGATGCTCCAATCCCTCCATCATCTTTGTTGCCCCAGGCTGGACTCTCTCCAGCAGTTCCCTGTCTCTCTTGAACTGGGGAGCCCAGCACTGGAGGCAGGATTCCAGTTGTGGCCTCCCCAGTGCAGAGCAGAGGGGGAGAATGACTTCCCTTGACCGACTGGCCACGCTCTTCCCTACGCAGCCCAGGATTCCGTTGGCCCTCTTAGCAAAAAAGGGCACATTGCTGGCTCATGGGTAATTTACTATCTAGCAGGACCCCCAGATCCTTCTCCTCAGAACTGCTTTCCAGCAGGTCCACCCCCAACCTATATTGGTGCCTGGCATTCACCATCTACTTGTTCTGGTTTTAAGCCTTTCCCCAGGCGTTTGCTGTCACAGACCAGGGGACCTGGTGCGGCCGCTCTCACAGAACTCACACCTGACCCTGCTCAAACAAAATCACTGTCTGTATCAAAATATTCTACACAGTCCTCCCAGTAATTTTCAATATTCAGGTATTTCCTGCTGAGGGCTGAAGGGCTGTACTCGCTTACATAGAAGGGAAGCATTTTTCAATTTTCAACCCACAGCTCTGGGGATTTCCACAATGACAAGAGAGAAATACAGAAGAAAGGAGCCTTCAGAATCCCAGAAAAAGCTTGCATTTATTATTTATAAGGTACCTACTTCCTCTGCTAAACAATCATCTGGATCGTAGTCCCCCATGCTAATGACTTCCACGGGCAAATTAAGGGAAGTAACTGCTTCAGCCAGACCTGCAGCAAATTTCTGAAAAAAAAAAAAAAAAAAGGAAATGTAGACAGTTGTCAATTACCTCAACCCACCCATTGTAAGGGTCAAAAAAGCCCTTCTATGGCCAGCAACAAGATATCTCCCAGGACGGGAAGAAGAATGACGCACAAGAATTGGACACTGGACATCTAATTCCTCACATTTAAAAAGTGGAGTACACTGGCAGAAAGAAGAGAGTTACATGAATTTTAATGACTAAGGATTTTACATGCACACAAATTAAATTTCTTTTTGAGAAAGAAAGCACCTAAAGCAACAAGACCTGTGAGCAAATTGAGTATATTTTAAGAGTAAATTTTAAGCTTCGTAATCCATATCTCTATGTATGCCCCACTCAAATGAAGTGAGTAGAATAACATTTACTTTTATATAGTTTCCACTTATCTTTCGCATTGGGCAGTGACTTCTAATGAAAGCTCTCATGAACTTTCCGATTTTTACACAGTGCAGCGCTTTTAAAGCAAGCAACATACTTGGATCTCAACAACATTGCAAATCAACTTCAAGCACATAGAAAAAAAAAAAAAGTAACTCATACCTTTGCTGTGCCAGTCTGGGACCCATAGAAAATCTTTACCCCAGCGACATAGACTTCCTTTGCCTGCAGGGTGCCATATCCATTTACTAGTTTGTCTTCTGTTCCTTCAGAAGCAGCTGGATTCCCCTTGGATTTTTCACCCTAGGAAAAAAACACTGTGTTTCATTCAAAGTGATGTTAACCCTATTTTCCCAATGGCATTTAAAACACAAATCATGTGACCAGACTCTCAGCACCACGTAAATGCAACAGTCAAAGCATTTTAGCTTCTCACACCTAGAGAAACACACAAGAAGCTATTTCTATGAACTAGGCCAGGCTACAATAGACTCATCTCAAACACTGGGGAAGTAACAGGATCCAGCTGAACCTGAGAACCTCCCAACTCCTGCAGAACTTTACTCACCTGCACAAGGAGGTTTTGACTTTGAGTGGCCTAATCCCACTCTCACCCTAAAACCAGCCCAACCTCATCATTAACATCACTGGAAACATGAACCTGAAAACATCAGGCACAAGCAGAGTGATTTGCTTGAAGCAACAGAGCACCCCAGGCTGACACCCCCTCAGTAAAAAAAGTGAGAAGGGTTCAGCCGAGATCTGTTCTAATATCAGAGCAACAAGGATGCTTAGTTACCCACAAACATAGAAGAATCCAGACTGAGGATTATAACCAAAAGACAAACTAAACTACCTTTGGGATTTGCAACCTAGGTGAGCTCACAGTGAAGTAGCCCAATTTCACTACACCAGTGGGTGTAGTGACAACTGACAACTACTCGCTTGCACACACAGATTTTGGGCCCTCCTCAAACAGAAGTGCTTATGGGTTCAGTTACCTTCTTTTTGGTTTTGGTGGTGAAGAACTGAACAGTGATCCAAATGCTGATCCCAGAAGCAATAGCAGAATAGATGTAAAATCTGTGCAGCCATAAGGACACCAGGCAAGTATAGAAAAAGTTCCACGTGTCCATTGAGACATCTAAACCTAGAATAAACCACAGATTTAGCAAGAGCAGAATCCTACAGTACGAATTTAGAATAAGGACACAAGAAAACAATCATACAGGACCCGTAGGCTCACGACACGTCTCTGCAGAAAACAGCTTTAGGCTAAATGAAGACACTACAATTGTATCAAGGACCCTTCACCTCCCGAGAGGTGTGTAAGCTGAGTTCCATCTGTGTATCCAAGCTAATGTTTTGGGCTGTCATATGGAAACTCTGGGTTTTTCTTAAGACACAGGATGTTCTGTTATAAGGAAAGGCAGAAAATACTTGCACTGTGCAAGGGTCTGAAAGTAAGAAGTCCTTGTGAAACATCCACTGTATTGGTTTTGCAGAGACCCGACATGGGCAGATCTTTGGAGCTAAAAAGCACTGTTTCAAGAGTAACATGATCTCGGCAGAGCTTGCTGCTGAACAGAACCCTTGCTTGTATGCACTAGACACCACTCTGATTACAACAGCTTTACCCAGGGTGTCAAGGCCAGACTGGAACATGGATTCAACTGAAAGCACTTTTTCACAATTCTGTCACGTGGGCAAGGTTCGATTCAGGACAACTGAGATTGTTCTGAACCAACCTGAAAATTCAGGGCACACAATGTTGTACCCAGGAGTGCACAGTGCCTATGAATACCTATCTCACGTGAAACATCCAGGAGCTTAAATAAGGCTTGTTGACTTAAAAAATACTTAATGACTGAGAAACATAGACGGCACCCTCTTACTGCTGTCTGCAGTCCTCCCGCATCTTGTTTCTGTGGACACCAGACAAGAGCACAGAAAGCGAGTATTTCCAAAAAGCTGGAAACTTTGTTACCGTACTTTTCCCCTGAGCTGTTCAAAGCAGATCAGAAGCTGGAGGCTATGCTCCTCACCCCTCCACCAGCAGCACCCAACCCCTCCAGTAAGAAAAGAGCTGAGAGCACTTGCTGTTGTGCCAGCACCCCAGTGCTGCCAGCCCACAGGAGCAGCAAAACAGGGGGGCTCCTGACACCCACCACAGCCTCCTCCCCCCCCGGTACCTGCCCCTGCAATCACCCCATGGCATCCA